CATGATTGATGAAGAGTCTGATAAACTTTGATATTGGGGTGTTTGGTAAACGGCGTTTCAGCCGAAAAATGGCGCCATGGTGGTTTTAGTGTTTTCAAAAAGTGAAAAAGTTGTTTGGTAAATAGCTGTTCGACACTAGCGTTTTTTGCCGGAAAACGCTGAAATGAAAGCGCTGCTAATAGGAGAGTTTTGGGTTGGCGTTTTGAAAAATGGTGTTTTCCACTAAATTTATGGCCAAATAGTATAACTAAATTACCAAACATCTTCTGACGATACGCCAATTTATTCCGGTAGTCAAACTCGGTGATTGAATCCGCTATTGACAACCTGATAACATAACCCCTCCGCTATCAGCTAACCCCAAACACGCCCAATTATTTAAAAAAATTATGTGCGATAACATAAGAATCATAAATCATACAAAATCGTACGTTTGAAGAAATGGAGATCATCTAAATTCAAAAGCAGTTAAAGCACCAAATTTGATAAAAGGGAGAGTCCTTTTAATAGATGAAAAACTAATATCCAATGCGAACAATCATTAGCCGCATATAAATATGCATAACGATGAATAAAAAAACAGACCTTTTATTTTATTTAGAACATACACATTAAGATCTTATTAAAATTGTTCCATATCATCAATGCATCATGCATGGAGGGGTCTACGCTAAGGCCTAATTAAGGCTGGTGTGCTGAAATTCAAAATAAACTACTTATATTTTTTAATTATTTAATATAATCTTTTTTCGTTTTTTATTAGCCCACTCATCAGCTATTACTTTAAGCTAGCTAATATAGTCATTATTCAGCCTAATCCAAACTAAATTCTTGGATCCACCTCGGCACCTTGTATATATATATACACACACGTGAGACTAGGTGTAGCATGCATGTAAATAAATTGAAATGCAAGGCTTCAAAAGTTGAAAAAAAATTATTTTTATTCAATTGTCAATCTTGATATATAAAGTTTACATATTGAACTAAAAAATGACTCAATTGTTATTTAAAATCTTTGGAAAATTCCCAAAATAGGAGTAAAAACGTTTGAAAATTCAAAAAAAAAATATTCTTATGTTTCTATTGTAACACCGCCCCCAAGTATTTGTACTTTATCAAATTATGTATTGAACCCAAGAAATGAATAAACGCATTTTTCGTGATTGTGAATTTTTATCATTTCTTTTACGTGAATGGTGAAATTCATGTGGGGCCCACACCGGAAGTGGGGGCCGCCCGATAATATCGGGACCACATATTATATTCATTTGGGTCAAGATAATATGTGTATAATGGTGGATAGCCTGGTTGGGCCATAGAAGTTATGTGAGTAACCTTTTAGGCATATAAAGCCCATTTATCGGTACCGAGGTAATATCAGATAAAAAGCCATAATAAATTATGGAGACCATCAAATTAAAAGTTGGGGGATGTACATTCATTCTTATAGCAAATAATAATTTGAAGAATGAGAGATATTTCATTTTACCCGATAAAATGAAATATAGTTAACACAGTCCGGAAAATACAACTTTCGGGACCGAATATACACTTGGGGACACAAAGGGATGTCCTCCCACATAAGTGGGGGCCACCCCACGTTTTAAGTCTTGCAAGGAGTGTGGAGGGCCGCATGAAAAGCATGGGGAAGTGAGAGGGAAGTGATTGGGGGACAAATTTGAAAGAGAAAGGGGCCCTCTCCCATGTATTATCATAAGAAATGCCAAAGGAGGCATTCTCAATCACCCCACACCTCACCCACTCGACCTACCTAGCATCCAAGGAGTAGGAAGCTCTTCAAAGACTCCATTTTACCATCTCCATTCGAGCCAAAGCTAAGGAAGAAGAAGGAAGGAAAAGAGAAGAGAAAGAGGGAGGAAAACTTAAGGATTAGCAAGGTAATAACTCCATTAACCCCATTCCTTTTTCCTTAGTCCTCCCATATGATTATATACTCATATTCCAGACCCCTAGGGTCACTATACATGTTATATGTGAAGAATAAGGGGTTGGAAGGTTGGTTCATATCCAAAACGGATTTAGAGAACAAAGTTGACCGGTTCGTCGAAAATAACCTTTTAGAGGTTATTTGTGTTGATATGGGTTTTATGATGATAAAACCTTGTTGTTAACTTGTTTAAGGTACTTCAAGGACTTTCACGGAGTTGAAAGGGTCGCCGGAGTGTCGCCGGAGTTCGTTGAAGTTCACCGGAGTTTCACCGGAGCTCAATAAGAAAGGCTAGAACTTCATAAGCTTCTTTGAGGTGAGAAGACGGCTATATGCTTTATAACTTTTGCGTGAGGCATGAGATTACCTAAATTAATCAATAATATGTTTTATGAGTTGATTAATGGTATTAAAGCATGTGTTATGTTATGTTAAGAACTATAACAAGGTTGGAAAGCATGAAATGTAGGTTTGATTAGTGAAATGATTATAAATTGAGATGTATGATGTTCCTAGGACCAAAAGAGGTATTTTTGGATCAAGGACTTCAAGGAGTATATGCATGTAAAATTTCACGTTAATCGGACTCCGTTTGGGCGGTCAAACGGGCGTTGACCGCCAAATCAACTACAATACCCGACCGGGTATTGGCAAATACCCGACCGGGTATTTGCTGAAAAATGCCCAGAGGGCTGCTGTCTCCTATACTCGATCGAGTATGGATAGGTACTCGATCGAGTATGCATGGAAAATTAGCCTTACGGGCTGCTGTCTCCTGTACTCGACCGAGTATAGGTGGGTACTCGATCGAGTATTGGGTTATACTCAAAACGGGTAGTTTTTGAGTAGGATAACGTGGACCGATCAGGTGGGACCCGTCCACGTTGGTTACTAAGGATTGTTACATGACTATAGGACTAGGTATTGTCCATAGTTAGGTGAACGAAAGGTTAGCCATATCCAAGTTAGGGTTGGTAAGGAATAAGGTTGAGGTTGAGTATCCTCGGGACGGTTAACGATCCCAAAACTCGGTGAGGTTGAGTATCCTCGGGATGGTAAACAATCCCAGAAACTCGGTGAGGTTGAGTATCCTCGGGACGGTAAACAATCCCAAGAACTTGGTGAGGTTGAGTATCCTCGGGACGGTAAACAATCCCAGAAACTCGGTGAGGTTGAGTATCCTCAGGACGGTAAACAATCCTAAAACTCGGTGGGGTTGAGCATCCCCGGGACGGTAAACACTCCCGAAACTCGGTAGGATATTATGAAGGTAGAATGTAGCCCTTGAGCTAGGCATTCAGGAATATAAAGGGAAAGGTTGGGTAATACCTTATCTCTAAAAGACTTTTTGTGAGAAAACGACCTACGGGTCAAGTATTTTACAAGTATAAACGGTATGTATTATCTTGGGAAGGGGGGTAACAATGGTTACACCTATAAATATATGTATCACCCTATTTTTGGGTCTCGTGTCTGAAACATTAGTTATTCCTCATATAGTCTGCTTGTCACTAGTACTTCTATGGAGTACTGACCCCTTCGGGGGCCCTCACATTTTTCAGGTTGAGGCTAGAGTCCTACTACCTGCACCTTTGCCAAGGGTGATTGATCAAGGAGGAAGACGTGGTTCGTGCTTCCATTCAAATTTATAAACTGCTCATGGATGTTTTTAACAATGTTTTCCATTAAAACATTTGGGGGCCTGCGTGTCCGTATTTGCCACGTGTGGCTAAGTATCAAACATATCTTATTTTCCGCATTTGTTGACAAATATATATTGATGTTGATTGCATGGGTTTACTAATCGGTTTGGCAATAGAACTTAACGGACGCCTTGTATGACCTAATAAGAATGAACTAAGTTGTTCTTATTGGGTTGTACGGCGGTTGTCTACGTGGCACGGACGCGGTCCGGGGCGTGACATCTATTTCCTAAATCGAAATAATTAGTATCAAATTTGAAAAATACTGTTATATTTAAAGTCTGATACTGTCAAAACATAACAATGATTATTCATATTGAGGGAATAAAAACATATCATTCTTATTATAAAATTCGCAAATGTTTTTAGGATGTTTTCTTTGGAGTGAAATTTGTTGTTTTGGCCTGGTCCGTTTAAATCTCGTTTGGTGACTCTGGCCTAGTCTGGTTTGAACTAATCTGGTGTGATAAATATCTAATCTCTATGTATTTTATAACTATGAAAGTATAATCTGATATGATCTGTTTAGATTTTGTCTAATATAGTGTACTTATGTCTGCTGAATTGGAAGTGAAAACATCCCTAGTCGTGTCGAGGGTTATTTCTCAAAAAAAAAAAAATGATAACGCAAATGCAAGACGTTATTGGCGTGTGATGTGTCTTGCGTGGATTGCATTCAAGTAAACGTATACGGCGCGCTAACCTAAAGACAATCATCACGACTAATTAAACTTCAATAATTAAATGCCGTCGATCTTATGCTAGTCAAAGATAGATTCCGAGTTGTCTTTATACTCCCTCCGTCCCATTTTACCTGTCCTACTTTCCTTTTTGGTTGTCCCAAAATAAGTGTCTCCTTTCCTTTTTTGGAAAGAAATATGTGGTTTACACCATTTCACTTTATTAAACTCAAATCTCAACCACAACTTTTACTTTTTCAACCACTTCATTAATAACCGTGCCGAGTCAAAATAAGACACATAAAATGGGACGGAGGAAGTAATTTGCTATTCTTCGGAAAGGTAAAACTTTCGCTTTGTTCCATCCACAATATTCTGCAATATATTTTGCCAACTTTGGCATGGTTTTTTTCTTTTTTTTAGCATTTGGCACTTTGGCATGGTTATAAAAAGGACCAAATTTATGGTAACTAGTTTGGGGAATTACCTTATTCCCAAGCATGATTTTAGAGATCTTCATTCGTGCTCTCTAAATAAACATTTTTTTTATTACACATCATTGCCACATCACATTTATTTAATAAAATTTAAATAATCTTAAAGTTTAAAATTCTTCTTCAACAATAATACTCAAATTATCAATTTTTTTTCGAACATGCATTAAATGTAATTTTACTACAATCTAAAATAATCCGAGATTGGAATTTTGATACCGGATTTTCTTTTTCAATAATCTCATTAAACAATCTCTCACTCACAATGATAATGTTTAAAATAATCTTACACATCATCCAATTAATCTTCAAATAAACTCATGAATGGGGATGCCCTTAAAAACGTCCAAATTGAGATCAAGTTTCCGTAAATATTTTAAATGAATGAATTTTGATCATTCATCATACTTGGTAATCACTGGCAGAGTCAATAAAGTTACTTAAGTTTTTCCGATAGGCGATTTGCGCCATTTCTTTACCCGGCAAATGATTTAGAGCGATAGTGGAAGAGCGACCATTATCACGCACTGCTCTCCATAGTTTGCTTCTTCATGGCTTATGCTTCTGGATGTGCTGATATAGATCGAATCTGAAAGCCTGTGATTGATACCTTCGATTGGAAAATTGCGTAGTCAGTTCCGCTCGGCTTAACTGTTGGAGGTGGGCGATTGGGACTGTGTCTGGATGGATTTCACCTCAGGGTGGAGGCGATTGGGGGTGTTCGAGTGATTCAATTTCTGAATCGAGTCTTGAGCAAGGGAGAAGGCAAATGTGATAAGATTTGAAAGGTGATAATTCACGAATACTAACATGAATGAGCTTGGAGTATTTATAGGAATTGAAGGCTAAAATCAAAAGGAAATAATTCCACCCAAAATCTCACCTTTCCTATTCGGTTTGAATGTAATTCTCTCCTACCTTTAGTTTCTTTATGATTGGTTTCCACTTCCACCGATTCCAAGACCTGAATGGATTCCAATACCACCACTTTCAAACATCCCCCAATCCCCTCCCGAATAATAATTCCATCCATTTCAATTCCCTTAAAATCGAACATATGTTTTGGGAATTCCCAACAATTCCTTAAGATCCAAAATCCTTTAAATTCCCCCAGAATCCTATTTGGGGACACCCACATAACTACATAAGTAAGCTTCGCTCAAGAATGAATCCAAAGGATCTAGATGTAGTTAGCTAGATGAGAGAGGAAGCGGTCCAGCCCATCTGGTTACCGACTCACTCTCCCTTACGGGAGATCTCGGGTTCAAAATTCAATGAATTGAGTTTCAGTTCTGATTACTTCAGATCCCCCAGTCACCCTCAGACCCCCCTAGAGTAAAAAAAACACTAGTAGATGAGAGAAATGAAGAACACGTGTAATTTAATACTACGTATTTCATGTCTATTGTCTAACTGAGTTGAAGAACTGTTCTAAGGCTAGTGTATGAAGAAAAAGGGTACGAATGAATTTACAACTATCTCCATTATCTCTTTTGTCCATGTTTAAGGGAGTGGCGGTTTATATGGGTTGTGTAGAAAACGATCAAATAACTTTTTTTTGGCATGACTCTCCGCCAAATATCATGTAAGAAAACGGCATTGCACTATTTATGGTACAAATTCAAACCACACTACTATGTACTACCTCCGTCCCCCTAAGTTTGAGACAAAAGAAGGTTGCACGATTTTTAATAAAAGTGAGTTTATGTGGTTGATATTGAATTGATAAAGTAAGAATAAAGTAAGAATGATTTAGAACCACACAAACTTTACCAAATAAGGTATGAGACAATCTTAGTGGGACGGACTGAAATGGTAAAATGGGACAATCATAGCGGGACGGAGGGAGTATATCACTAGTAGAAAACTGTCTTATAATTACACTTTGTTAGTGACACTTTTGGATTTAGTGTCACTAATGTACGGCATATCTTCTATTTTACATATAAGTGTCATTATTATCTGATACAAAAATATCAGTATAACATAGTGACACTCGTGCACAAAATATTTATTATTTTAACCTATATCATAAGTTGAAACGGGGTCATATTTATAATTTTAGAAAAATTATATCTAGCTCGGGGTCATTATTCTAAATAAAAGAAATATAATTCCATGCCCTACCCCCTAAAGCTGGAAACGGAAGAGAAACCAAGCACGACCATCGCGCTAGCCCTCGCTCCTCCACCCCCGGCACATCGTCTCAAGTTACCGCCAGCCTCCCAATAGCAGAGAGAGTCGTTCTGTGGAGGTCATGTGCCGGATCTGCAACACCAGATTTTCGAAGGATGTAGGCTTTTGGCTCGGCTGGGGAGCGTAGAAGTGATATTGAAGATTTGGCTGGGAGCGTAGAAGTCTGATTCGATCTCAAAGTTGGAGTAACTAGTCTCTATTGTCCACATAGCTCCGATAAACATGGCGGTGAGCTCTACTTCTAGAACTGAGTTGGACCAGAGGGGAAAGGCCGGATCCGTCAAATACAAGGAGGCCGTATTTATTCCTCCACCACTGACAGCTGTTCCTCCACCCCTAACAACCGTTGCTCCATTAGGTAAAAATCCTTGTTTTACATTACATTTAATTTGTAGTTCTGTTTTTTACGCTCATGGTTTGATGACTGTATTTACTTTTGTCTATGTGTTGTTTAATTGGTTTTAAATTGAGATAGACAATGAGTAACTATTTCTCAATGTTTAGTTTATAATGATAGATAAATTTCTTTCTTGCTTGCAGCTCTAAAGTAATTTATTCATTCCATGAAGTTTTCTGTTTGTTTGATATTATGTTTATTTAAGAGTCCACTTATCTTGTTTAATTTGTTAGTTTTATGAAGCCCTAACCTTCTTCAACTTTATGGTTTAATTTTGGGGATTTTTTGTTCTGGAATTTGACAAGGTATCAGGTAATAAATATATGTTACTTCTTATCATCTTATATGATTCTTTTCTTGATAGACCTTCAGATTTAGACTTGTATAAAAGCAATAAATCTGTTTTTTTAAGCACATGAGCATAAAACAGTAAAATTTTCTAGAGATTACACGCATGATATAATTTCATTTTTAAACAACACCATCCATATTAGTGTAGCAATTTTATTACATAATCTTTATCATGTTTGATTCATTGATTTGTTTCGTATGTTGATATCTTGATATGGTGTACAGAAGTTTACTTTGGATTAAAGTGAAGCAAAAGGATTACATTTGTAACATAAGCACTTGAAACTTCAAGGGTAAAAGTAAACCACTAAACTCCATATGTCTAAATACAAGGCCCTTGTATACATTTGTAACTTAAGAATGTCCTTGTATACATTTGTAACTTTGTTTTAGTTAAGTAGTTTATTTCACTTGAATATTAAGTTCAATTGTACCTTGGTTGAGGCACTTCACTAGTTTTGAAATATGAATGAATTAAAATACGAAAGGGGGAGGTCATTTAGAAAGGTAAGGTTCTTTAATTTGAGATTTACCGGACTAATGGGATTATTAAATGAAGCAGAAGAACCCACTAAGTATGAGCTGCCACCATTCAGCAAATTCATTAACTTTTTTTAAAGAATTTCAGCACTAAACTTAGATTTTCATGTGCAATGCAGTTTTTGTTAAGAATGCATGCCACATGCATGTGTGATCATCCCAGTTCATGTCTATGGTCTACCATATTTTGTTTTAATAGTTTCACGGTAATTTTTCTTTTCTTACTATACGGAGTATGTCAACAGTAGATAAATTTGGGTTCAGTTTTACTATTATGATCATTATATTTATTACTCCGTATTATCTAAGAACTTTCTTTGTCTTTCTTTTGGATGCAGGGGAAGTCTATACTGCTTAATTCATCGACCAGCTAATGGGGAAATGATGGATCAAAGAAGGCGCTTATGAATGGCTTTGGATGTGGTTTGTCCTGACGTCAAACATTGTCTCTTATCGATGCATGTATTTTTTTGTGATACACATATGAAATGCAGGCCAAGGGTATCAACTATCTTCATTGCCTTAGCCCCCTTTGTGGTTCACTGGGATCTTAAATCTCCTAATCTCTTGGTTGACAAGAATCGGACTGTGAAGGTGATAGAGTATTAATTCTAGAGAGAAGTGAGAGCTAGAGAGAGAAAGTGAGTAATTATATTTCTCAACTTGCCAATCCCCTATAATTAGCCCCTTGGGGTCTACTTATAGGTAAAAATGTAGATTTGGGCCCCTAGCCTTGGGCTTAGGAGGCCCATTACAATAATCATGCCTTCTTTGGGCGAATAAGGCCACTAATGGGCTGAGTACAACACTTAGTACAAAAAATAGGAAAATACATTCTGCCCGGACGAAGTCCGGACGACGCGGTCCATGGACGACACGGTCCATGGACGACACGGTCCATGGACGATGCGGTCCCTGGACGACGCGGTCCCTGGACGACGCGGTCCATGGACGATGCGGTCCATAGAAATCAGGCGATATCTTCTTTCTTGGACGGTGCGTACCTCTGGCCGATGCGGGTGCCCCGCTGGTGTCTTTTGGGCCATTGAGTATGTGGGCTATGGGGTCCAGGCCCATATACTCTATCAGGAGTCCCCCACTCTCTGAGCTGAGGTGAAGCCGAAGCGAAAGGGAGTACTTGTTCCTTTCTGGTTGGCCGTTGCGTGAGTCTAAGGCGTTTGATGGCCGAAGAGTTCCTGTCTTGATTTTGGATGAAACGGTTCCCTTATTTAAGGTAGATGAAGCGCGCTTGGGAACTCATAGCCTTGATGCGGGCCGATGCACACTCTGTGGAAGTGCCTTTGAAGACGAGGCGATGCGCTTTTTTTTGTAGATGTGATGAATTTTGGTGTGGACAAGTTGGCATGCTTTTATTGTCATCTTGTTGCGGTTGAAGAGCTCCCATCTATCCTTTTGGCCGTAGCGAAGACCTATTTTCATGAGATGAAGATGGTTGATTCTGTTTATGTAGACGATGCGATGCGCACCTTTATGCGGCCGAAGCGTTTTGACTTGTGAGTTTTTGTTATGGCGAGACGATGCGGCCCCCTCAGTGTACGCCGCCGTTGCGTGTTAGATCTCGCATGGTGAGTTTCTTTTTATTTTGGGCTTTGCGGCCGACGCGACTCGCGATGCCATTGAGGTAGCTGATGCGACTCTTAATGCTTATCTGAGGTGAATCGTCCGTCTTTTGTTGCTGGTGAGTCGTAGCGCACCCTTTTTGTATTAAGGCCGTTACGTTTTCTTTCCTTGTGGCCGATGCAGTCCCCCAGTCCCCCACTCCTTTGGCCGAAGAGCATCTGAGGCGCAAGGGAGTAATGATCCGATTCGGTGCCTATGCGTTAGTCGCGATTCCAACCCTTAGGCGAACCTGTCCAAGGTAACCCTGTGGGAGAACCCTTGGACGAAGGCCGCGATACCAGGGTCATCGTCGACGATGCGCGCCTAGGAGGCCGTAGTGGTCTATTAAGGTTCTCTGGGTCGTTGTGAGGACGTAGAGTTGGGCCGATGCGTTCCTATTTCGGCCATATGGCCGACGCTTGCTTTGGAGCCCTGTAGTACTTGGGCCGTAGTGGTACTCGGCCGATGCCTTGTTCTTTTTTAAAGCTGAGTTGGGCCGTAGGGGTGCTTGCTTGAGTGATTTTGAATCGGTGCCCTTTGATTGGTTGGAGGAGAGGTGGCCGTTGGTGGAGCCAATGTGATGGCGCCACGTGTAGTGACCGTTGGAGGGTCTCTATAAATACCTCCTTACTCCGAAGCCACTTCTTCATTCGTGCCCTGCTGTTTGCCGAATTGCTGCCCAAGTTTTTCTAGAGAGATAAAGTCCCGAGATTTCCCAAGTGTTCGTCGCTTTCTTCAAATCTTCTAAGGTTAGATATTCTTAATTTTCCTTTGATTTCTTCATAATTTGCTCCTTAGGGTGTTAGATCTAGTGTTCTTTAGGAAAGTCACTTTGATCCGAAAACTACCCTTAGGACGTAGCGATAGTTGTTATGCCGTTCCCTGACGGCCGTAGCGTCCCCTCCCCAATTGACTTAACAGCTTCGCTGAACGAATCTGATTGGCCTTTTGACGACGAGGACACATCTCCTGGGGTGGATCTAAGAGTGGTGGAGGCTTTTGAGATTGAGATGGAGAACACTGCGGATTACCGCACCTCTGTGGACGAGGAGGGTTCTCAACCCTCTGGTGAGGACGAAGCGAGCTCCGAGCCCCGGCTTCGTGAAGATAATGCGGGTGATGCTTCATCGGCCGCCATCCCTTGTCCACCACCAATTTCGTCTGTTCCGGGTGGCGCGTCGTCATCTGGGGTGGTGAAGAGACGTACATCGCGTCGTCGGAAAGGTGTATCCGGCGGGCTTTCTCAATTGGATCTGACGAACCTTTATCTTATAAGGCCGGAGAGCACCCAGAGCGAATACCAGGTGGCGCAGTTGTACGTCGGCCCCTATGGAAAGGTGAGGGCGCCGAAGCCGACGGACCACGTCTTGGACCCACCCCCTGGATATTTCGGGGTGTATCCAATGAGTTTTTCCCAAGGCTTGAGGTTTCCGTTGCCTCCTTTTGTAGTCCTATATCTGAAGATGTTGGACCTTCCCCCAGCTCTACTAACGCCGAACAGCTACTCCATTATCGTCGGG